ATATATATATATATGCGCCAATATTAGTGGAGGGAACTAATAAATAGAACTATTGGATGTTTGATTTGATTGATTTTTAAAATCAAAAATAGTCCAGAACTGCATTCTGAATAAGAAATAAATAATACACTGGCAATTTCTTAAGTATTAGTTAGTTAAATATTTTCAACCCAGAACGTATATGCTTTAATAATAATCACAAATCATTCACACAATTTTAACAGAGCTAGATAACTTAATCTGAGTTACATATTTAAATCCACAGCATTTGCAAAAATAATATTCAAAATGCCACAGAAAATAAAACGGTTACTTTATCAAGGCATTAAATCATGATCAACAAACGTAATATGTACACTGTAAAAAATGTGTAATTTTAACTGTAACATTTTGTAAATATGCTACGAAAAAAAAAAACGGTTAATAGTAAGTTCCCGTACTATATACAGGGAAAAATTGTAAAAGATCTAACCAGACATTTCATGTAATGTTACAGTAAAATGCTGTTAATTTTACAAACAAATCAATGTATAATTTACAGTCAAAACTATAAACTGATATTCCCAGAATTCCCTGCGTGACACTCCACATTTGAAAGTATTTTGTTTAAATAATCATGTTTTTTAATTGCTTTTGTTATCAGTTATGTACATTTGGGTTTTATGTTACATCTTCTGTTGTTTAATGAAAGTTTAATGCATTATTTAAGTATCATGTGTGTTACCATGATGGTGTTTTGTGTTTGCATGAATGACTCTGTGCACCTTCTATATATTAGTATATACTTCTGCTTGTGGCGAAGCTACTTGTGATGAGCTTTGATTCTTCATGTGGCTTTCTCTTTTACCACCTGCATTATTATGGTGGTTGTCAGTATGTTAAAGGTACAAAACAGATTTTAATAGCAGTGTGCTTTGTTGAATTTACTGGTTTACATGTAAATTTTCTTGTTTGTAAATTACAGTTCCCTTTCAGTTGATCACTCCCGACGTCACGTCGGATGACCGACGAAATTGGGATCTCGCTTAGAGGGACCAATCTACTTACAGTTTTTTGCCGTAAATGTGTTTACAGTTTTTCTGTATTTTTTTTGTTGTTGTAAAAACTACAGATGTTTTTTTACAGTCTAGATGCACCTTATTGTTGAGAACTTTTTAAGTTATTAGAGTTCATTATTAAAATCCATAATCATTAATTATATCTTACCACAAAGTCCATTTCCAACATGTTATAAGAAACAGCTGTCTGGTATTTTCAGGAATGTGTGTTGTGAATTTTGCATTGGGAAAATGAATCATTGCTCATTGTGAATATTAATTTTTCAATGTCTTTCTCAGACATGCGTGAGGGCGTTCGACAATTCAGCCACTATCAAACTCTATCAGTGACTTAAAGATGTGTGTGTTTCCTGCAGGCTTGTCCTTGAAAGCCACTGTGACTCATTAAGATGCCACACTCGTAAAAGGTAACGAGAACAAGCTAACGAGACGTGGGACGTGATCATAAGACGATGTTCTGTGAGTGTACAGCGAGTTGACTGTAGGCCGACTTGTCATGCAAAAGACGTACTAGAGATCTCAGCTCTCTTTCTTTTAACTAACAGCTTTTTCTCCGAATTTTTTTTCTTAAATTGTAAGGAATGAGACAAAAATCTCTTGTGAGTTCTGAGAGCCAGCAAAAGTGTCCATTTGTAGTCTAGGGGAATAAATGGAGATATTAATACAGAGCTTTCATGTGGACCCAGAGTTCCACTTCCTGTTTAAGTTGTTTCTCCATGGAAACGCGGTTTGAAATGGTCTTCCTGCGGAGCGAGTCAATGCTTTGACTGTCTGTACAGAAGTGTGCTGTAACCGCGACGGAGGAGGTTTAAT